GGGTTTGGGTTGAATTTGAATAAAATGGGTATTTGGCAATAACAAAATTAAGATAAAGGCTCTGCGAGTTTTGTTTAGCCACTTCTCTTCACAATCTGGCATTAAGGCGACGGTGAAGCTGAATATTAAAAAAATAGCCTAATGCCAACATTAGCCTGTATACTCTGTCTACATTATGATTTTATGGTTTAATTAATATTTATTTAAAAAAAAAAAAAAAAAAAAAAAAACATTTACTCACCAAGATTAGGCCACATGTTTTTTTGTGGAGGAACATTATTGAATGCTCTGTAAATTTAGTGCAGTCCTGCACTCAGGATGGTGCGTTCAGCAGCACTGAACACCCTTTCACTGCTGCTGCTACAGGCCGAGATGCATAGTTCTGATCTGGCTAATTTTGCAACTTTTGGGTAGGATTGTTTGTTCATCATTTACCAACGAGAACATCCATTTAATTTTCCACAACATCGGTTTCAATGTAGCGAGTGGCCTTGTTATCTTCCCTGTCAGCTTGCACTGCTGTCTAGCGCTCCACCGTAATACACAGTGTATGAGTGACCGCCAAAATACCTTTGCGGCTAGAATGACAGGTTTTTTCTGAACTGGTGGCTGGCCTGACCACAGTCAAAATTCGTTCTTTTTGACTTCTCCGTCATCTTTTGTTTCACCTTTGCAGAAAGGGAATTTAATGTTGTAACAAACGATTTAATTACTTTCTCGCGCTAATCGAAAAGCATCACATGACGTTCATTTACTGCCACAAGCCAAGCCTGCCCCGGTCCGACCCCGTCTAAAATGATGAAAATTAGATCTTCAGCTGTAGGTTAAAGGACATCCTGGGATTTTTTTTTTGACCACAGAGAGTCAGGAAGTCATTCGAAAGGCAGCGCTCACTAAGCAGTATAGAGTCCCCGTCACTATACTGGGGCATTAGGAACCACACAGACCGCAGGTTGGGCCTCACTAACACCACTTCCAGCAGCAACCTAGCTTTCCCATGTGGTCTCCTATCCAGGTACTGACCAGCCCTGCTTACCTTCTGTGGGCGACCATGTGAGAATTGCAGAGAGCTATAGCTGCTGGCTGGATAAGTTGGCTGTTCATTCCGTTGTGGCCACCCCTAATTAATACAGGAACTAAGCTAAAAGAAAATGAATGAATGGATTCTAAAAGTGCTGTTTATTTTCTTCATGTAGTATAAATCAGTTCTAATGTAGCCGATATTTCTTCTTCATGTTTGTGTTGCTGTCTTCAGCTCTGTCAGAGGAGCTCCAGTGCTCAATCTGTCTAGATGTGTTCACTGATCCAGTCAGCACTCCATGTGGACACAACTTCTGTAAGAGCTGCCTGAACCAGTGCTGGAACAACAGTCAGACCTACAACTGTCCATTCTGTAAAGAAACATTCAATAAAAAGCCAGAGCTCAAGATCAACACAACACTCAGACAGCTTGTGCAAGTCTTCAAGCAAAACGTTCCTGAGAAAACATCTGAAGTTCTCTGTGACATTTGTGATGGTGTTAAGAAGAAAGCCCTGAAGATCTGTCTGCTGTGTCAAAATGCTTACTGTCAAACTCACCTGGATCTTCATCAGAAAGTTACAAATTTAAAACACAAATTAATTGATCCTGTGTTGAATCTTGAGAACTATATATGTCAGAAACATGAGAAACCTCTGGAGCTGTTCTGTAAAGATGATCAGACATGTGTGTGTTTGCTCTGCGCTGTGACAAATCACAGGAATCACAACACTGTTGCTGTAGAAGAGGAGAGTGGTGTAAGAAGGGTATGAGTTTCTAACAATATTATGTACTTTAATCAAACAACTATATTTTTTATCAAGTTCAGTACATAAGATCTGTTTAAATGAACTGTCTGTAATTATAGTCTCAGATGATGGAGATGCATGCAGATATGAAGCAGATGATCCACGACAGAATGAAGAAAATTCAAGACATCAAACACTCAGCACTCTTGAAAAAAGTGAGTATTCAGAGGAAATTATTGCAGATAAATAGGGCATGAGTTCATATTTAACCATATTTTTTTATTAAACATTGCATATGCTGATTGGTTTTTAGGAAACATCAGAGAAAGAGAAGGCTGAGAGCACTGAGCTCTTTGCTGATCTAATGAGCTGCATTGAGAGATGTCAGTCTGAGCTGCTGGAGATGATGGAGCAGAAGCAGAAAGCAGCAGAGAAGCAGGCTGAAGAGCTGATTAAAGATCTGGAGCAGGAGATCACTGAGCTGAAGAGGAGAGACGCTGAGCTGGAGCAGATCTCACACACTGAGGATCACCTGCACCTCCTACAGGTTAGTGTTTTTCTGTCTGCTCACATCACAGCACAACACTTCCCATGCTGAGGGATTTCTGCTCTCTCCTGCTGTAGATTTAACCAGAGCTGAGCAAACCTCCACACACCAGCAGCTAGACTCAAATCAGTATCAGTGACACTCAGCTGAGTGTAGATACTCTGAGGAAAACTCTCCTTCAGCTACACGACACTTTGGATTACAAACTCAGCACAAGTGGTGAGAGAATGACAGCTATATAATTTAAACTTACACTATCTACAGTGTCGGCAGCACGGGGGCTCAGTGGTTAGCACTGTTGTCTCACAGCTAGAAGGCCACTGGTTCAAGTCCCGGCTGGGACAGATGGCATTTCTGTGTGCATGTTCTCTTCTTTTTGGCGTGGGTTTCCTCCAGGAGCCCCGGTTTCCCCCACAGCCCAAAGACATGCATTATAAGTGAATTGGATTAGCTAATTTGACCGTAGTGCATGAGTGTGTGTGTGAATGTGAGAGTATATGGTGTTTCCAAGTACTGGGTTCGGGTTCATTCAGCTGTGGCGACCCCTGTTAAATAAGGGACTAAGCTGAAGGAAAATGAATACATGAATGAATATCTGCAATCTCACAAAATCCAATGCCATATTTGTGTCTGACTGATCCTGAATCTCGTGATTACAGTGACAGTTTAGAGGGTTTGAATCTTAAAAAGGTGACTGATTTTCTTACTCTGTATGCAAGCTAATGTAATGTAATTATTTTATTTTTTTGATCATTTATCATCTATTTCTTTACATTTATGTAGTTTTATCTACTTATTATCATCTGATAAACAGTATTTTAGGCCTTTTTAAAGGTGTAATGAACACACTTTCTCTCCTCTCTGGGGTGTATTTATCAATCCATAATAGAAATACACATATACAGTTTGATCCCAGCACAAAAACAGTATGTATATTCCCAAGTGTAAGCAGTTTATAGACAAAAATACAGTAAACCATCAGAAAAGGAGCTGTATCACATTGCTATTTTTCAAACTTTCAATTCATTCATTCATATTCTTTTTGGCTTAGTCTTTTTATTAATCAAGGGATCGCCACAGTGGAAGGAACTACCAACTTTTCCAGCACATAATTTACGCAGCGGATGCCCGTCCAGTTGCAACTCAGCACTGGGAAACACCCATACGCTCTTGCACACACTCACATACACTACAGCCAATTTAGCTTACCTGTACTGCATGTCTTTGGGGGAAACTGGAGCACTCAGAGGAAATCCGCGCAAACAGAAGGAGAACATGCAAACTCCTCACAAAAATGCCAACTGACCCAGACGGGGCTCAAACCAGAGACCTTATTGTTGCGAGGCGTTTGTGCTACCCACTGCGCCCCTGTGCTGCCCCAATCTTGAATCATATCACTTATTGTTATTTGCCTCCACAGTGCTGAAAAAGATGCAGCAACATTTGGGTAAGTTTTGTGTTGTGCATGTTCATCTTTTCACACAATAAGAGTTTAGAAACACATTAGATATTAAACACATTAAACTGAGGTACTAAGAAGTTTTGATCTACTATACGTCTACTCTCTTTCAGTGGATGTGACTCTGGATCCTGATACAGCTCATCCAGATCTTATCATCTCCGATAATGAAAAACAAGTGACAGATGGAGATATTGAGCTTGAACTCTTAGACAACCCTGGGAGATTTGACACTTGCCCATGTGTCCTGGCAAAAGAGGGGTTCAACTCAGGGATATTTTATTTTGAAGTGCAGGTAAAAGAAAAGACTGATTGGAATTTAGGAGTGGTCAGAGAATCCATTAAGCGGAAGGGAGATATTACAGCTGCACCTGAGGAAGGATACTGGATTATAGTTTTGGGGAATGGGAATCAGTATCTTGCAATTGATTCTTCTTCTGTCTCTCTGTCTCTGAGAGTGAAGCCTCAGGTTGTGGGTGTGTTTGTGGATTATGAGGAGGGTTTGGTCTCCTTTTATGATGTGGAGTCCGGGTCTCATATTTATTCTTTCACTGGTCAGACTTTCACTGAGAAGCTCTTTCCATTCTTTAGCCCTTGTAATAATCAAAAAGGTAAAAATGCAGCACCTCTAATTCTCACCTAAAGAGACATTGAATATTTATATACAGTTGAAGTCAGAATTAATAGTCCTCTCTGAATTAGATACAACTACTTGAAAATCTGGAATTGGAGAGTTATGAAACAAATATTGAGAAAATCACCTTTAAATTGTATATACTGAGGAAGGGTTTACAACTGAAAATGTATTGTCTTTTGCACTCCTGCATGTGTATACTTTGGTGGACCTCTGACAAATAAACATAATCTGATAAATAAATATCGATTACGCGTATCAAATCCAAAATCTTGATGTTCTGGCACATTATGGCAGGCCATATGTAAAAACTAGATGTTTTTGAACAGCTCATTAAAGCTTGATAGACCAGTTTAAATCATGTTGTAAAATGTTGAACTGAACTGGTCCTTTCTCTCTTTTACTAACTTTGAACGAGTGATCTATGCTCTCGTATTCACCATAGCCACTCCAAAATTTGGAGTAATCTACCTCTGGAAATCAGAACTGCTTTAATACAATCCATTTTTAAATTTAGATTAAATCATTTTTATTTCATGAGGCCATTTTCTATAGATGGTTATTTATTTAGTGCAGCACATTGGTCAATGGTAGTTGTGTTTAGCTGTGCTCTATAAATAAATGGAACTTCCAGTTTAAAATAGGTCTCCAATAGGCCTTCAGTTCACTACAGATTATTTCTTGATGTTAAAACTCAGTTGTAAGTTTAATATAGATGGATAAATATTTTGTACGTGACTGTCAAAAGCTGTAAGTATACTGACTTTCTCTACTGAGTATGTATAATCTTTTAGTCTATTGTTAACAAATAAAGACAACCTGCAACACATAGAAACTTTTTTTCTGGTAATCACAAAAGCTCTTCATGATTCTGTTGTTATGCTTAAATGAGACTTGTCAGCATTCCACAGGTCAACTTTGTTTCCCAAAAGTTGTGAACTGTCAGGTTCAGAGCTCTACGGCTCAGCGGATCCTCCTCTTGGGCAGGTGAAGGTGGGGCTACACAGTCTGTATCCTATCAGTGACTGAGCGATTTCTTTGGAGATGTTTGGCTCTACAGAGGGCAGTTTAGGCAGCCATGACAGGCCCCATGACCCCCTTGGTAAAACAACGGGTTCATTCTTTGCTCCGCTGCTGACCTCATTGTCTCTTTGTGAAGTGAAAATCCAGCGCTGCATTCAGCTCAATGGTCTGACAGCTGCTGGTGTGGAGCATCTCTGCTGTGATGGAGGTAAGTTGATGAGAGAGTCCAGCAGCTGCTCTCAGGAAATCCCGAATCCCAACAACGAAAGCATGGTGAGTAACTTCTAGCAAACTCGCATACAGAAACATTACACTTTTCAAGCTGTTTGTGCCGTATTGTATGTGAATGACAGACTATTTCCTGTCATGAAAAATTGAACAGTTGCTGTTAGAATGATTCTAGTTGAGAACTTGTTTATGTTTACAGAATCGTGTATGCTAACATGAAGGATTTATGGCTATATACTTGAAGTCAGAATTATTAACCCCCCTGTTTATTTTTCTCTAATTTCTGTTTAACGGAGAGAAGATTTTTTTAAGCACATTTCTAAACATAATATTTTTAATAACTCATTTCTAATAACTGATTTATTTTATCTTTGCCATGATGACAGTACATAATATTTGACTAGATATTTTTCAAGACACTTCTATTCAGTTTAAAGTGACATTTAAAGGCTTAACTAGGTTAATTAGGTTAACCAGGCAGGTTAGGGTAATTAGGCAAGTTATTGTATAATGATGTTTGTTCTGTAGACTATCGAAAAAATATTTAGCTTAAAGGGGCTAATAATATTGACCTTACAATGGCTTTTATTCTAGCTGAAATGAAACAAATGACTTTCTCCAGAAGAAAAAATATTATCAGACACACTGTAAAAATGTCATTGCTTTGTTAAACATCATTTGAAATGTAATTAAAAAAGAAAAAAACTAAATTCAAAGGGGGGCTAATAATTCTGACTTCAGCTGTGTATAATAATTATATAAACAAATCAAAGTGTTGTACATTTCACAGAATTCACAGAATTTTGAGCCAGTCTTTCAGTCTATTTGTTAACTTTTTTATATTACATTAATTTAAGTAATAATAATATGTACAATATACAGTAGCTTGAAAAGTAATCTTGTAAAGTTTCATCTGTTTAAGCAGATTTATTATATGATAGTCTTTACCGTTGTTTACCAAACAAGTGGTTCTAATTGGATTTGCACTGTAAAACTTACATATTTAAAAGTTAGATATAGTTTAATGTCATTAGTTAAGTTTCAAGTTACTAAATAAATCAATCAATACAATTTTGTAGATTTTTCTTTTTTACAAAAATGTCCTAAAAAAACAAAAAAACAAAGGAGGTAGAATTCAACATTATCACAATTGTTTTGTTCAGTTGATAGCACAATCTAACAACTTATTACAATCTCTTTAGATTTGACTGTGTATTTCTAAAGGGACATTTACAGCAAAACAAATTCACAAGTGTTGTATTATATCTGAATGCTTAAATAATAAAAGCTGACCCCATATACTGGATCACATTTGAAAGTTATTCAGTTTTCTAAGTAACATTTACAACTTCCTGCTTGTTTTTACATAAATTGGATGTGTGTGGTTATTTTCATGCTATTTTCATATAAAACAGAGCAAGCAGAATTACTGTTCTGAACACAAAAGTACATATTGCTTATTTTACTTTAAAACGTATCAGTACCTTTTTAATCTGACACTGCAGTTGATCATATCAGTGGTTATATTACAGAGTCTCAGTAGAGATGCGGTGGCAGTGATTGAGAACCCTGTAGTGGTCAGACAGTCTTTTCATCCAGAGAGTCTGCAGGTGGACATGCTCGAGTCAGACCAGAATAACCACAGGTGCCTCAGAGAGCTGCAGTTTCTCCATCCTGGTTAGTCTGTTACTAACACATATTCGAAAAGGCTAAGCAGATTCATGTTTGAACATACATTTTTAAATGTAGTTTATGGTGGCTTGAGAAAGTTGAGAAAGAGATACTACATAAACTTACTATTCTTCTTCTTCTTCTTCTTGCATTTCCTCCTTAACCGTTCTATAACCGTACTACACCCCCAAACTAACACCAAACCTCCAAACTAGTCTGACTCGGGTTGCTATACTTTTTCAACTGATCTGATTTTCGGTTTACCGAAAACTGACCCGGAAAATTCGGAAAAGTACCATTAACTTAAGATTGGACCAAACTTTATGACCTCATAACTTTGCGCCAGACTGTCATACAGACTCAAAGTTGAGCTCATTTAACTCAGACTACCAATCTGCCAATCACTGATGACCTTTCAACTTTCTAGCCACACCCTAGCAACCACTTACGGCACCTTAGCAACTGTCCCATAGACTTCCATTGTAAAAACTGCCATTGACTTTACATAGGACATACTAACAACAAACCAATCCATACTAGCAATATACTAAAAACATACCAATCATACTAGCAACATGCTAATTCATACTATAAACATACTAACAACATGGAAATTCATAATAAAGTCACACAAACAACATGCTAGTTTATACTTGAAATATGCTAGCGACATGCTAATTTACAGTAGAACCATGCTAACAACATGCTAATTTATGCTAGAAACATGCTATTTCATACTAGAAGTCTAACAACTACTCAGAACATCCTAGAAATTGCCTAGCAATGCCTTAGCAACTGTCTAGCAACTACTCAGAACACCCTAGCAATAATTTTGCATTGACCTAGCAACCTCTCAGAATACCCTAGCAACAACTTGACAACAACCTGAAACACCCTAGCAATGCCTTAGCAACTGCTGAGCCACCACTCAGAACACCTTAGCAACTGACTAGCAACACCTAAACAAACAGTCAAATCACCATAGTTATCTCTCTAGGCCAACTGCTTCAAACTTAATAATTACTTCAATTATTTAAAGCTACATCAAACTTTTAGACGAGGCTTACTCAAGTCACCATAAAGTTTGTCTACAAACTTTACTTTTCTTTACGTTTTGTACTTTGGTCATTAGCTCAATAATTGACCAAAATTGACCTGAAATTCGTATTGGTTTCAATTTTGAACTTCAACTGCATGGATGTGAGTCTTGTTGTTGTGTTTTTGGAATAACTGTTGAGAAATGTTCTTTTTTTTTTCTTCAAATAGTGTCTGGCAAAGTGTCATCTCGTAAACTAGTGAGAGTGTTTGCAGCTCTGTGTGTGCTGTGTCTGCTGGGAGGTGTTGTGGTTGGAGTTTGGTTCATAGGTAAGATTTGAAACAGTTCAAAAGCTTTGGTCAACTTTTGTGTATTTATAATGCAGAAAGTTCCTTTATTTCTGCTGTGAACGTTTAATGTCTTTGTCTAGTGAAATTTCTCTTAAAGCCAAACTTATCTCAGAGCCCTGCGAGCCTGGGAGACACTAAGGACACGTCCTTCTGCAATGTGACCGAGGACATCTCTGTGACAGATCCCAGGAAAGGTATTTACCTCATGCATTTGTGTTTGTACAGGTAAACAGCGGAGCGGACATTCATTCAAAATCACTGCCACAAACAAAGTGGCATAAACAATGCCTGTAGTGGAAGCTGTGACAAACACATAAACAAAAGACACAAACTAAAAGCATAGGAACTACAAATGATGGGTCACAGCGTAATTTACAACTAACTTCAATATGAAGAGTTCTGATGCAAAAACCTGTAAATGCCATCTGAAGTTTTCTCCTAAAATTAGCATTTTTCCCAGCCTCCCATGTTTATGTTGAAGTATTTCACTTTAAACAACATGTTTTTTTTTCTGGAAAAATATTCTAAAGTAGCTGTTGACATGGGATTGAACCAGATTTTGGTTAAAACTCAAAGAGCACAAACATAAAAATAAAACAAATCAAAATAAATCTGAAAATAAGTTTTGTGTAATAATATTGGAATGACACAAGAAGAAAGCACTGAACTACTGAAATTCAACTCAATTCATTTCAGCTTTATTTGTATAGCGCTTTTACAATGTAGATTGTGTCAAAGCAGCTTCACATAAATGGTCATAGTAACTGGAACAGTGTAGTTCAGTTTTTAGTGTTTAAGTTTTGTTCAGTTCAGTTTAGCTCAGTTCAGTGTGATTTAATCATTATTGAGAGTTCAAACACTGAAGAGCAAATTCATCGATGCGTAGCTCTACCAATCCTGAACCATGTTAGCCAGTGGCGACAGCGGAGAAATGGGTTTATTACTTTTATATAAAAGGCTTTTTTGGTTGTAGCAGCTTAAAGACGCTTCTCTTGTGGAGAATGAAGTCACATGCATTGCTCAGGTGTGATTTTTTTCAATAGAGTGTAAAAATCTTGATGGTTCTGTGGTTCTCGTCTATCAAATCTTAGCTTTATTTTGTATTTTCTATTGGATTTAAGTCAGGTGATTGGCCGGGCCATTCTACAGCTTGATTTTCTTTTTCTGAAAGAATTTGAGAGTTTCTTTGGCTGTGTTTTGGATCATTGTTCTGCTAAAATGTCCAATCTGGTTTTATCTCCATCATCTTGATAATGTAGACGCTGGACTGAAGAAGCGAATATAAATTTACATTGATGAAGGGCTGAAGGTTTCTAAATAACTACTGAAATAGTTTAGCTGCTTTCTGGGCTTTCAATGCCTTTCTACCCCTCCCTTTGTTCATGTGTTCAATATTTTTTTCCTGTGTTATTTCATTTTATTACACATAACTTAATTTGTAAACTAATTTGTTTTCTTTGCATATGGATCTCTTTTGTTGTTATCAACATCTAGTGAAAACTTCAAGCCAACAGCACCTTTAGAAATATGTTTTCTGAGAAAAACGGTGATGTGTCGAATACTTATTTTCTCCACTATATTACATTAATGCATTGTTTCCCATAATATCAGTTGTGTCCGCTGTGCTGCAGTCTGTTGTTTCAGGAATGATTTTGATTGAATGGGGCTCAGTGTTTTACAGGATCAGTGCTGAGAACTCACTTCTGGAGATCCAGCTGGAGAAGCTGCAGACGTGGCTGCCTGTTTGTTTCGAGAGGTGGAACTCGTCTCTGGGAACACTCGTATGTCGACAGCTGGGCTATCTGAGGTCAATCACACACACACACACACACACCTTCAGCTCTCAGCACCTTTCATTTCACTAGCAGCTGTGTCTGTTTTCTGTAGGTCAACCATTCATAGAGCGTCTGTAGTGTTGAAATGTTCTTTGAAGTTAGCTCTGATTCAAAGCATGACATACAAGCTTTTCAAAGATTATTAAAGAGATGGTTCACACACAAATGAAAGTTCTGTCATCGTTTACTCACCCTCTTGTCACTACAAACTTGTACAACTTTATTTCTACTGTGGAATGCATATACCATACTGTAGGTCATATTTTGAAGGGTACTGAAGTACTATGCAAGTGTGTGATAATAATAGTAAATAATTCCTTACATTTATATAGTTCTTTTCTGTACACTCATGTCGCTTTACACATTTTTTGGCCGGAATCTCCTCATCCACCACTAGTGTGCAGCATCCACCTGGATGATGCAAAGGCAGCCATATTGCGCCAGACCACACACCAGCTGATTGGTGAAGAGGAGAAAGAGTCATGAAGTCAATTATGATATGGGGATGGTTAGGTGGCCAGTTGGCAAATTTGGCCAGGATGTCTCTTTTTATTAATAGAGCTCTAGCTTTGTGTATACGACCAAAGCAACTTTCAAGAAAAGTCTACCACATTTTGATTTTGGATACATGGATACACAAAATGTTTTGCCTTTTTGCATCTCAAATTGTGGAGCATGGTTTAATCCCCAGGGAAGTAAAAAAAAAATATTTAAATTATATATATATATATAATTTTTTTGGAATGACATGAGAAAAAATGATTGATGCTGAAATGCTATATTTATAGAGTTTTATAAAGAGTGGTTAGACTTATGATTGATCAACTAGTCTCTCTTTTTAGATTATCAAAGCACAAGGGAGTGAATCTGACTGATATCGGGCCGAATTATACAGATGGATTTGTCCAAATCACCTCAGAATACCAAAGCAATTTGGAGAGCTTATGGCGCTTCAGGTAATCCAAAAAAAATACAGATTGTTTTAGTTGTCATATTAACTGACAGTTGCTTTTCTAAAACCTTAGCTGACACAAATTTAGTATATTGTAAGGGCCTTTAAAGTAAAAGTTCACCCAGAAATGAAAAAAGTGCTGTTGATATATTCATCCAAAGGCCATGCAAGATGTACAGCAGGTAATCTGTCTATTCACTAGAACATATAGAACAAATATTTTTAGTGAAACAATTTTAGTGTTCCTTGCTTTTTCATAAAAAGCAAGTCAATAAACATATACAGGCAACACTAAATTAATACGTAAAACAAAAATTAATATACTTGATGATATACTGAGGTCTTAGGAATAGAATGTTCTCTGTTTTATATAGACATGCATATTGTATAAAAACATCTATGTCTTTCTTCCATTGTTAACAAATAATGTCTGTCTGCTCACATGTAAATTCCCAAATAGCAGGCAGTAATCGGCCCGAGCTCGGCTGCCCTCAGGCGCACTCATTATGTGACAGAAAACTCACGCTTCAGACTATGAAAAGCCAGCAGAACAGGGGTGTCAAACTTAATTTCTGGAGGACTGCAGCCCTGCAGAGTTTAGTTCCTGTCGTGCTTCAACACACCTATTGATATACATCAAACTAGCCTAAGGCACTCAATTAATTATTTTGATCAGGTGAGTTTAATTAGGGTTGAAACTAAACTGTGCAGAGCTGTGGCTCTCCAGGAACCTTTGACAGATCATAGATTATGATGTACTGTAGATCATAGGACATAATGCAGTAAATAACGTTTATTTTCTTGCACAAATTTGTCATTTCACTTCATAAGACCTTGATGTATTGTCTGTACATCTGGATATCTGCCTGTATATATTTAAAAATCAATGTGCCTGTAACCTCTAACTTGCATTTAACAAAAGATCACAAAAGACTTTATTATTATTTGATTTTAGCAAAAAGAATCTTTAATGTTGTACAAAAAACAAAGGCTGCGTCCAAAACCGCATACTTCCATACTATATAGTATGCTAAAATCAGTATGCGAGCCGAGTAGTATGTCCGAATTCATAGAATTTGAAAAACAGTATGCGAGAAGTACCTGGATGACTTACTACTTCCGGCGAGATTCTAGAGTGCGCATCCCATGCATGCTGCACTATCCCATGATGCCCCGCGAGCGAATTCATGAATGGGAGTAAAGCGACGCAATTGACGCAGGCAGGTCACGTGACCATGACAAAATGGCGGCTGTAGTACGTCCGAATTCCATTCATACTTTTCACATTCATACTGTATAGAACATACTTTTCTAACAGCCGAGTAGTACGTTTAAATTCAAATGCAGTACCTACTGAGTAGTAGGCGGTTTCGGACGCAGCCAAAGTCTTCTACTTGGTGTACAGTATGGCCTTAGGGGAAAGTAAAAGCAAATTGTCAATTTTAGGTAAACTCTCTTTACAAAAGCCCTGTTTATGTGAAATTGAAGGCCATAGACACTCACACCCTGCCTTTTTCTTACTACTCCAGGGGAAGCTGTAGTACAGGAAAGGTTATAGCACTAAAATGTTTTGGTGAGCCTACTTTTAACTTAATCCTGAAATAAGAGATAATATCCACATACCATGTCAATCTGCTGCTGAACGCTTGTTATTTGCTTGGCTATATAGAGTGCGGCACCAGAGCAAAGTTACCCAGGATCATTGGAGGAGTGGAAGCTGCTCTGGGCCGATGGCCATGGCAAGTGAGTCTCTACTACAATAACCGTCACATCTGTGGAGGATCCATTATCACCAACCAGTGGATAGTTACAGCTGCTCATTGTGTGCACAAGTAAGTTGAAAACATTTACAATCACTTTGGCTTAAATTTATGGATGAAAATCTGCCGTAAAACATAAAGAAAAATCAAATGGGGAAAATGGTTATATATATTATATATAAATATATATATATATATATATATATATATATATATATATATATATATATATATATATATATATATATATATATATATATATATATATATTTATACAACAGTTCTGTCTGGATCTCGAATCTGATTGGCTGATAGCTGTGATATATTTAAGTAAAATCAGCATCCGTACAGCCTCTTTACCCTTTGTGTATTACTCCGCCCACATACAGCCAGCTACTTTTGAGGCTTTTTTAGTCGAGAATGTAGTTGTTTTGATTGCAACTTTGCAGTTTATTTGCTAGAATAGTGCCTATTTTAAAATATTTACAATTTCTGAGAGCTCATCAGCAGCCAAAGACAGTTGACGTTGTCTATCCACAAGATGGCGCCAGAACCGCATGATAAGCCCTTGCTCGGTGTGTTTTCCTGAGCGCGAATAAAATGCTGAAAAACGAAAGCCTCGTGGTTTTTAAGGTAGACCGAATAAAGTCAATAAAAAGCTGTAAATATGAAGCTGGATTCAGCCTTGTCCCTCCTTATCGCAAACACAACAGCAGTCTGGTGAGAAATCTCTGTACACGGATGGCATTTCTTGTCACGTTCAAGCTTATAATCTTAAAATGTGAGCAAAATTTGCTGTTTTGTCATCACCTTAAGGGGGTCACACACCAGAAGTGCCACTTCACATTACGCTATAGAGAATCATTCAAATACTAGCTCTAAAGTGACGTTGGTGAATTAGTAACTGCTTCTGCTGTTCTGACGTCAGCTGCATTTGTAAATGAATGGCGGAAGAAAGTAGTTCCTAATACAAAAGGGTTTTAGACTCTGTCTGATTTTCTTTTTTATGAACAAGTTTGTGCTGTCGAACTGTTGTATAAACGCAATATCACACTTGTAGCAGTGTGTTATGGCTGTATATCAGCACTGGGGGTCGCTAAGGCACGAGGCCGCAAGGCACGCCTCCCACCAGTGCTGATATACAGCCATAGCACACTGCTACGAGTGTGATATTGCTCATATATCATCTGACTTGCCTTCTTATTGAAGTTACAGGCTACCTCAGGTGCCCAGCTGGGTGGTTTATGCAGGTATCATAACCAGCAATTTAGCTAAACTTGCTCAATACCAAGGCTTTGCTGTGGAGAGAATCATCTACAACAAGAATTACAACCACCGGACACACGACAATGATATCGCTTTGGTGAAATTAAAAACTCCACTGAATTTTTCAGGTGACTAGTTCTTTATTACTTGCATATAATGGTTGTGCTGAACCCTGGGTTAACTCTTTATCCAATCACTACTTTTAATCTTGGGTTAAGGATTGTTTCACTTTTTTGGGGGGTTATGAAACAATACTCCAAGGGAGTAATAGCATTTGTTTTGTCCTGGTAACCCTACACAAATTTCTACAGTCATGGAAGCTCACATGCTTTATATATAAACTGTTGTTTCAGTTTTTTGGGGGAAAATGTCAGAAAAAGTATGGAAAACACAGTAATTGGGTGAAGAAGAGGCCATTTCATTGTTATCTTTAATCCAAAAAGTCTATTTATGGCTTAGCAATTTAAAATATGAGAATACTTTAATGTAAACACATTGTGTACTGCTGTACTAATAACACTAACACTGCAAATATAGAAAATATTGATGTTAATGCAGTGTATGAATACCAAAGTTTACTCGTTAACCCCAGGTATAATATAAACAAAAATTGTAATATGAGGTGAGATAACCCAGAATTCAATGCTCTCATGATTTATAATAAATAATTTTTTAAGTGAAGTGTGAATAGTCCTATATACTATGTTATCTCTTTCTATATGTTTAGACACTATCAGACCTGTATGTCTACCGCAGTATGACCATGATCTACCAGGAGGAACCCAGTGCTGGATCTCTGGTTGGGGATATACACAACCGGATGATGGTAATGTTCAGTTGCATAGTTAAATGTGTATCTGTCTGGATTAGGTTTGATTTAGGCCATGACTGAAACACACTAGACACACTATAATGGAGAGAACTCAAATGCAAATGACAGCAGATTCCGGAACCAAAATCAAGTACAAAGCAAAGTCCATCAAGTTATCCCAAAAGGTAACTCCAGATACGGCTGCAAACAGTTGATACAAGCAATTATGAGAGGATGCAGATAGGATTATATTAGTTTATGCTTATACATTAACATACCCTTACAGGATTGGCAATATGCTAATAATTAAAAAAAATACAAGAGCTCATAAAAAATGGCATTTTATCTCTGTACTGTTATTTCACTTGGGCATTAACTGATTCACAAACAAAATGGCAAAATGTATATATTTAAAAAAATCAGAAATAAGATTTTTTTTTTAATTACCATGTTTTAATCTTAATATAATACTGCTGCTACCAGGATTATCAACACAAACTGTGTCGTTTCATTTCACATTTGAACATAAAATGTGCAGGATTATTTCAAAATATTAGACTCAAAGAGCAGAAAGATATAGTCACAGTTCGACCTTAAAGCAAGCTAGCATCCTAAAATCCAATAGTATCTGGATGTAGCCTTTATGATGCAAGCTGTTTTTGAATGTTCTGAACTTTTGTGCTAATCAGGTAACGTTATTGATGATAACAGTCACTTACTGCATTCACCATAAGACAAAGCAGCTCCAACTCACACTAAACACTTGGCTTATGCTAGTTTTGTTGAATAACATCAGCAAACAATGCAAAAGAAATATGACAACGAGATGCTGCGCTGCCAGAAACTTGTATTATTGTCGGCTAATGTTAGTGAAAGAGTCGTTCGGGGGATTCATTCACAAACGAGTCGCTCCGTCAGTATGAGAAGTGAAAGCAGGAGAGAAGCTGTGTTTCAGGACATGATTAGATCAAATTTAACAGGGAGGGTGAATAGTACATTTCTGTACACACAAACACAAGCTTTTTGTCAGGAATGCCCGTGCGGTCACTGATCCATCAATGTAGAAAAGTGATGTAAAATTATAATTTTCATAATTAGAAAAAAAAATTACATACTAACATCCAGGAAAACTCCCGATCATAGATATATGTGTATATGTGTATATCTCTGGCTTTGGATGGCCACAGTCCTCCACTGTACATTGGTCCCGCATTCATTTCAAAGGAGCGCTACCCTGTAGCAAGATGGCGGCGCTATTGACGCATTCCGTCCAATAGACAACAATAGGCCAGGCGACATCTAGTGTATATATCTATGGCACTGCACCAGGTCCCTAAAAGAGGGGGGAAAAGGGTGTAAAAAAAATCTCCCTTATATACTTGGAATCGAATTAACCAAATTGTGTCCAAATACCAGACGTAAACAAGGCCTAAACATGAGCAGAGATGTACCTACCTACAGCAGATCATTTAAACAAATGAGGCAAACAAAAATGCAATAGGCAGAAGTCAGAGAGCAAGCACATGTAAACAAGACTAATAAATCCTACCATTAGGAAAATACTTAATAAATTAATACCTAAAAAGACTGGAAATAATGGTCACAACGTGTTAAACAATGAGTAAATAACAGAGCAACAGACAACTCGCAGGTTAAAGTTAAAAAACGACACGAATTGGCGGGAAACTGAAATGAAACGCAATGAGGCCCTCTAGTGGATAAAACAACTCCATAATAACTTAAGTTTATGAGTTCATTTGAGTTCAATACTATTTAACAATTTATTTGAGTTAAAATCTGTCACGAAACATTTTACTGTTTGTATTTGTAATTGTATTTGTATTTTTTTTTCACAAGTTCTTATACCAGAAGTTCTCAAAGAGGCACCCGTACCTTTAATAAGCACAAAGAAATGCAATAGCTCTTGCATGTACAATGGAGAGATCACCTCTCGAATGCTCTGCGCAGGATACTCTGAAGGAAAAGTAGACGCATGTCAGGTGAGATCAATGCTACTCAAAATGTTTGGTACAATATTATGGAATTTCTATATGCGTAACAAGAAGCAGTAACAAGTCTTCTTTTCATTAGGGGGACAGTGGTGGTCCTCTGGTTTGCCAGGATGAAAATGTCTGGAGGCTGGTTGGAGTTGTAAGCTGGGGAACAGGCTGTGCTGAGCCAAACCATCCAGGAGTTTATAGCAAAGTGGCTGAGTTTTTAGGGTGGATATATGACATTATAGAGGTGAGTATATGTGTTTCAAAAGAGATACGTAGCTCAAAACTGATATACAGTTATTTTCATTTTGTATTTCCTGTTGTAGAGCTACTAAAGGCTGACGTTTGAAAGTAGAAGAGAAGAACGTCCTGACCCTTTTTTTTAAATAATGTTGCCTTTTATATTATTTATTATATTTTATTACGCAAAGCCTCAGTATTTACAACAATGTAAAGATTGTTTGTTATTATTTGTTTGGTGTTGTGTTACTCAAGATAATTGTGGTTTTACAATAAATGTTTGACATTTACAAAAGGGGACAATGTGATCTGTTCTGTTCTCTTTTTGAATTGCTTAATCTTAAAAGCTTATGTTAGTTCAGGTGAAAATGGTAAAGTATTTATGTGTTTATCTGTGTAACAGTTGTTACAATATTTATATTTGACCATTTCTGGAAAGACTAATCAAGTGCATGGCATTAACACGAATCTATGATGTTTCACGATCGATTTAATCCTTCAACTACCCCACCAAGAAAAATATGTTTGGATTACATTTCTTAACTCCTAATGTAACTGGTTAACACACTCAATGCATTGTTTTCAACACATCCTCTAATTTCTGAAACGTCAGCCTCTACCAAATGGTTGATATGTCGGTTTATGGTAAAAGTACCGGTCTTAATACATCTACTATGAAAAATCTGAAAATATGAAGTGTAGGACTAATTAATTTTTTTTTTAAATATTCAATGTTATTCAATGAATGCTAAATCACCTTTTTTGTTTGAAGTATGGGCAACGTGGTGGCGCAGTAGGTAGTGCTGTCGCTTCACAACAAGAAGGTCACTGGTTCGAGCCTCGGCTGGGTCAGTTGGCGCTTCTGTGTGGAGTTTGCATGTTCTCCCCATGTTTGCGTGGGTTTCCTTGAGATGCTCTGGTTTCCCCCATAGTCCAAAGACATGCAGTATAGGTGATAAATAAAAAAATATAGGAGATAAATTGTCTGTAGTGTACTAGTGTGTATGGAGGTTTCCCCGAGATGGGTTGCAGCTGGAAGGGCATTCGCTGCGTAAAACATATTTTGAATAAGTTGGCGGTTCATTTCACTGTGGTGACCCCAGATTAATAAAGGGATTAAGCCGAAAAAGAAAATTAATGAATGAATGTTTGAATTTCTTTGAAGTATGCCATAAAATATTTCAGATTCTCATTTGACATGCTTTCTCGTTTGTTTGTTTGTTTGTTTGTTTGTTTACAATAAAACCAAAATCAAGTGATGCTTGTGATCAACATGATGCTTGTTTGATTTTTATTTTTTGAAAATTATTTGTGTAAGCCATTATTTAAAACAGATAATCTATAAATGACTTTAACAGTCATTCTTTAAAAAAGTTAAAACATGACTGACTTTCAGCCATTTACAAAGGTGGTTCTTGAAAATGTGTGTTAAATGCAATGCAATACAATACACTATATATATTCACTATAGGATAAAATAAATAAACCAACACTACAATTATTATATTTAATTAATTAATAAATAATAATAAATGTATTTGTGATTATTTAAAATATTATTAACTATGAATGTTAATATAAATTATGAAGGAATACATTTCTTGAATGAATACAAATGTAATTTGAATTAGTAATAAATTTATAGAAGTGTAAAAATATAATTAAGTCAACTTATTTACGTATAATGTCATTTTTTCACAGTATCAAGCCTTAAAAAACTAGAATGATCATATTTGGGGAGCCAAACATCTTTGACTAAAGTGTATCGATGGAAATGGCAGCTGTCATTTACAACTCGTTAATTTTCTCAGCGCAATGTACATTTTAAATCAAAAATAATGTCTTTTTTATTTTGACTAAACAGCGTCATCTACCGGAAGACTTGAAACAGTACAATTGTTATAGAGTTTCCATGGTAACCTGTGAGTCCAAGTAGGCTATTAGCGTGTCTGGGACATAGTATTGCACTGGTCGTCTAATTTTTTAACAAAGTAATACGTTGTAAGATTTTTTTAACTGTTCTGCTAAGCATATTGTACTAAATATTGTATTTGCTGAACAGTTTTTTTTTTGTAACAAAGTATCGCGAGTTCACTTAAGAATAATTAACTCGCTCTTCTTGTAGCTAGTTGTTAGCAGTTTTGATACACTGTAAACATGGCAATCCATGGCTATGATGGTAAGGCAGCTCTGCAGCAGGTCAATCAGTTTTGGTCGATGTTAGATGACATGTGTGAGAATAACCCGGAGGAGTACAGGAGCTTCATTCAGCGCCAGATGCGGGAGGGAGCCGAGTTTCACTCACCGCCGCAGCCGCACACCTGTATCCGAACTGCCGTGCTGGTAAACCTTTCAACCTCTACTAAACTAAGCTCTTTTATTTTATTGATATCAAATAAAAACACAAACACACAGCTGTCTTGTTGTTTAATTTGATACGTGGATGATTCTAGAATTGCGGGTACATTTTGATACATTTTAAAAAATGTTTTGATTCATATCACAAATCATATCAAATCATCTCTAAAAAATCATGTTTGTATGTGTATTAAGTGACCTTTTGTCTCAAAAATATTAGCTTAAAGAGTGTGTTTACTTGGTTAAGCTGGTATACTTTAACATATAAGTTAAACATTTGCAGGAAACCTCTATTTTATGTAATTTCTAGTGATTTAAAAGAACATTTTGTGTCTGTCATTGTTCTGGTCAACCCTGTTTCATAGGTTACACCAGTGGTCATAAACTCAGTTCGGGCCGCAGTTCTGCATAGTCTAGCTTTAATCAGCTCTTACTCACACCTGCTTAGCTGTTCCATTAATCAAGGTATTCAACACTATGTTTAATTAGGGTTAGAGCAAAACTGTGCAGAGCTGCGACCCTCCAGGAATCAAGTTTAAGACCTATGGGCAGTGGTGTAAAGTAACTGATTACAAATACTCAAATTATTGTAATTAAGTAGTTTTTTTTCGCAGGAATTGTACTTTACTAAGTAGTTTTAAAAATGTGTACTTTCCCTTGAGTACATTTTTAGTGCAGTATCTGTTCTTTTACTCCACTACTTTCCTTCAACCTGCAGTCACTACTTTATTTTTTCTTGTCTCTGAGGATTAGAAAAATCCGTCCTGTGATTCCTGACCAATCAAATCACATATAGAAGGTAAATTGCATCATATTGAACTACCTCAACACGCTTTATAATTGCAGCGAACCAATTGGAAGCATTAAGTGCCCAAGAATATGTCCAAAATCTTTACACGCATTGACCCAGAAACGGTTTTGTTTCATGTCACTGAAGAAAAAATGACGGATGTTTACTGTATTATGACCGAAATGGCCTTAAACACCCAGTAGGCAGAAGGAGTCAACATGACGCCAGATTGGCGTTGTACCCTAAAGTCATGGGGATGTTGCATTTTGTTTGAAAATAAAAATCGGCCAATGTCAATGTCCAATGTCAACCTAAAATGAACATCTAATGATGTTACAGCTTGATGTTGTGTGGATGTTACCACTATGACATCTATCAGATTCTGGATTTTGGTTGCCATATATACATGATGAATAAATGTCAGTATTTGATGTCAATATGATGTTGGTTTAAGATCCTCAATGTTGGATTTTGGACACTTTCCAACATAATCAAAAATCAACCTAATATCTCCGTCATTATTGGACATCAAAATAACATTGTGCTTAGACGCTGGCTAGAAATGGAGTTTTAGTCACCTGACGTCACAACCTAAATCTAACCTAATTTTAACGCTCTATGACGTTGTGTGCCTGCTGGACAATAACTAAATGCACTACAGAATGTTACGTTTACACACACATGCACAAATGACATGTAAATGCATCAGCTTTTAACAGCGTAATACTCACTACTCAAAGCTCTGATGTTTCACAGAGCACTTATTCATTGTTGCTCTTATAGTTGTGTAAATTGCTTCCTTGTCCTCAGTTGTAAGTCGCTTTGGATAAAACCGTCTGCTGAATGAATAAAAGTTAATGTATTGACTACTCTTGAGTACTTTTAAAAGGGCTACTTTTTACTCCTACTTTGAGTAATATTTACAACAGAAACTTTTACTCTACTTTCATTACATTTTTAGGCAAGTAATGGTACTTTTACTTAAGTATGATTTTTCAGTCTTTCCACCACGGTTTACAATGACCAAGAGGGGACTTGTTTGGGTTTCTCCCCTTTTCTGCACCTGTTGAACATTCATGTTTCAGGGAATTTTTAATATCATTTAGTCTCAATCATTTTTGAACAGTTGTGAAAGTAAAATTGAATCATCATCAGTATGGTCTGTAATTGAGGAACATTTATTTGGTTGCTTTTTCAGGGAGCAAATGAAGGCATTTTGTACATTAACATATGCGGCTGGAAACGTGTACCAGCTCCTGCTTCTGACAAAGAACCTGTCCCTGTGTGTGGTGGAAGAATGGAGAAATTGACAGAGGAGAAGGGTACAGTAAATAAATACATAAAAAAACAATAATCCTGGAATCATTTAATATTCTTCACGTTGTTCCAAACCTGTATGGCTTTGCTACTTTCAAAGATAAAATATAATTTAAAGGATGTTGATGAAGTTTTGATTGCCATTGGCTTTGATTGCAATTGTTGTTTATTGGAAATGTAGTGTGATCTGAAACTCAAAATATCAAAATAACTTTCGGAAAAAGGAAGGGTCACACAGTTTTAAAACAACTTGAAGGTAAATTCTTTTTTTTTTTCACATTCTGTCAATTATCATTTTAAGAGCTTCAAAACATTTTATTTATACCTAAAAGGTAAACGTTTTAAGTGTTTTTTTTCCCCCATAGTTTTGTGTTTTGTTTTCCTATATATTTCTGTGTTGGCAGTATAGGTAATAAACTGTGAACTCTTAATGTAAATGAAAGGGTCTTGAAATAACAAGTTATGTTGAAATAAAAAAGTTGACATCTCAAAAGAATGTCAAAACAAGAAGTTAGATATTTTTTACCATCCAGTCCAGGGATTTTACATTTCCATGATTTTAGGATTTTTTTTTATCCTCAAGTATCAGTTTGTTTCCTTTTAGTTAATTATACGTTGTTCATTTTTAAGTCTGTGCTTGAGAAAATCTGACCTTGTGTGTGTTTTACAGAGGAATATAGTGTTGTTGATGCGGCGTTCAACCCTGAGGTTCTGCAGACAACTGAAAAAGACAAAGAGGAGAAAGAGAATCTCTGTCTGCTTGCTCTGAACTTCATCCAGCAACAGCACAACCTTACTCTGTCCCAACACTACAAACTCACCAATGACAAAATCA